TACTTATCAGTCGATAGACGAACGAGTCCTGTGACCACCAGTGCAGTGGAGTGCAGCGATGTTCGTTCTGCTCGAAATCATCAATTTTCTTCAAGTATACTGCATTGTCAGTATATTCTCGACGGCACTCGTCAAGCATTAACGACCGAACAGCTGGTAAGAATGCATCTTCGTCTGTCGAACGCAGCATTGCCTTCAAGCCTAACTGAAAGCGCAGGCGCTCTGCTCGGTTCTCATCCGTATCATCGATCGTGCGAACTTGACTGAGCAGTAAATCGAGGGGAGTAATAGCATGAGGAGTGGATAGCTGTAAAGATCGAAGATCCCGTTTAACCTGCACAATCAGTCGTGATAGATCTTTGCATATCCCTTGGATGCATGGACAGTTCTTTAGAAATGCATTGTATGTTGTACGGACCTGCAAAGCGGTGTCATCATATACGTACACGAAAGCTAGTGAAGGCAACTGGTAAACAAGTGTCAAGGCTTGTACGCCGACAAGATCCGAAAGGATGAGATAAACGGTGGACGGTGCCTGGTCACTAATATAATCGATACATTCGTTCGCTTCTTGGAAAGTTTGAAGAACAGAGAAGTTTGAGCGAAGTTGCTGTTCGTGCTCTGCATTTTTTTCGAGCTCCTTCACATTCTTAGTCGACACACTGTATAACCATATAAGGCGCTCCATGCTCGTCTCAAATACCGTTGCTTTCTCCACTTTCATTTTATATACGAAGTGTCCACCTATTTTAAGGTAGCATAATGGTTTGCTGCAGGTGTTGCGGGTTAATGATGCATGACTATGTCTGTTTTTTTCCAGCTCACTTAATGGGCCTTACCTGTTTTCTGATATCCAGACAACGGTTAAGATAACAGAGAAATGAAACGGCCTTTTCTAAAAGGCGTTGCTGGTTAATAGTGCATGACAAAGTGCTTTTTCTTCATACACTTAACGATTCGTCTCTGTTCTATGACGTTAGATAGCAGTATGGTAACCGGGTAGTCTATTTAACAACAGTCATTAATATTTCTATCGACATATAGTAAGAGCTTCCTTCTTCGTTGACTTCGGTTCTGCTTCGTAAGGGCGCCCTACGCGTAAGCTCAGTTTCTGGACAGAAGTTTCTTCGATATTGCCTCCTTAACGTTATTGAAGTACAGACAAAAGTAAATCCACATGTCGTCTATGATAAGTGCGGACGTTCGCAACACGATTGTTTTTCATAAAATTTTTGGACCTTTTTAGACTTTATTCGCTCTGCCTGCCTGAGCGCATTGAAGAAATCTGAGCACAGAAGCCGTTTCTCTTCAGCTGTTGCGCGTGAGCAGACATTCAGTCTTCTTACACAGTTTCTTCTCGCCGCACAGTTTTCTTACCTACTATTGTCGCTGTAGTTAACTCCCGTCTTCTAATTCTCTCACTCGCTTCATCGGCTGCACTTTCGTGATATCATCGTGGCCTACTATATATCACTTCAAGAAAGACGTAAACAAGTATGACTGATACGAAGAAAAAGGACCCGATGACAGTCTTGTATCACGATCGTCGTGCTCTTGCTCGTCCTGACTTTGGCAAACCATCTCGCCGTATCAGCCGTTTCATAATCGAACAAATAAAGCTCTCTGGATCACTATGTGTTTGCCGTGATGTGATTCGCTTGTACGCAATTCTCGACAAGCTACCGCCTACACATGATACTACACTGATCGCCGCTGGACCCACGTGCCGTGAGGCCGTATCTTTATGCATCGATATGGCATCAATTGGCCAAGTGCTCATTATTGAAGAAGCGTACAACTTACCAGGTTCAGAGACTGTTATCAATGAAGCATATCGATTTTCACCGTCGACAGAATATGAAGGTCACATGTTCTTCCATAGTAAGTGGGTGAGATTTGAACCGTTCGTCAATATGACTGTCGCTGGATGGTTGTCACGGAACTGCACCACACCCGACTTTTCACGTTTCACCTCATTGATCATAGTTGGAATCGTTTGTCTCGCACGATACGGCTTATTACATACGACAAACTGGTTCTGTCATATAGCACCCATCGCTCTGAAAGAGCACAAACAGCATTTGTTTAAATGCCTCGCGAATCGTATTGTTGAAACGTATCTTCAGTTATTAGAAGAGGGTTTAGCAGTTTACACCAGCTGGGAACTATATCTGCAGGGTTTGCGCCTACTGGCTCAACTGTATGCCGCGAGGAAGGATCACTTTTCTTTATTCGACACATACCATACTTTGGTTCGAAAGTGTAGCCCTTACACGGACGTTATCGGTAGCCTTAAACTCAGCATTCTCGCAAGTCATTTTCGAAAGCGTCCAGAGCCTACATACAAGTTGCTCGCCTTCTATCTTTATCATCAGAATATCAATCTTTATTATAAAGGGCTGGCTTTGCAACATGATCGCGATTGTCCGGTCTACAGAAAATATATACATCATTACGCTTCTCTCACGTTGGCCAGTATAGCTACGATGGAAATCGAGCGAAAGAGGTTCGGGATGGCTTTATATTATTTTGACCAAGCAGCGGCTGCTCGACTACAACATGAATCAGGTAAGTGCTTGCACGCTCTCTATAGAGCGTCAATGCTCATAAACTACAGTTTCTATAGGACAACTGCCACTCGATATCTACACAATGCAAGCAATGATTCGCTGCATGCTTTATTCCGTTGTGAGGAACAAAGACTATTTGCACGCCGCTCTAGAAGATTTGAAAAAAGTGAAATCAGGGTGCATTGCTGAGGCTCAGGATCCTCCTTATGTTGTTTTCCTCACTCTATTCTGTGTCTATGACTCCCTGGAACGTTACACCTTGGCACTTGACTCTATGAATCAAGCACTTCTAATTCCGTGTGAAGATGCAAACAAAAGGCAGCAACTGCCGATCTATTGTGCTCGTGGATACGTGTGCAGAAAACTAGAACTGTGGGAAACTGCACTGGAGAGTTTCGAACGCGCACTGCAACTGTGCCCTCCATGCAACGGTGTTCAACGAGCTAAAGTTCATACGTATCTAGGTTGTAC